ATTTGATTTTCAAGAAATTTAATTTTGTGAATCTTCAAAAATCTGTGAAATTTGTTATCCTTGAAATGAACCCGCCATACGGTATTCTCAATTTATTCTCAATAATTTTCTCAAAGTCTCAAACAATCAATTTTTGCACTCCAGTAGTGTTTTCAAAATTGGTCTTCCAAAAAGATCTAGTCCAAGTTTTTAATAATTTTTCTGCAATTACCATTAGCCTCAATTCCACCCATTAATTATTCCACTCAATCCACTGTTATTCCTATTTCCATCCAATTATTCCAGCATTATGCCTTATATGAGGATTATGCTGGCATAATAGGCTCATCCCTATAATGCAGTTAAATATAATCACCCATATTTTTAGCAAACTAGTTTTGCCACACCCCTTTGCTACCTGTGCACGTGAAGGGGCACAGCGGGCCATGCCAGGGTGAGACCATAGATTTTGTGCACAAGTGAGTATGACTATCTTACTTCCAGCATTAGTATAAATGGGAGATGAACCAACAGAGTCATCGGAAACAGCAACTGAGCCTAGTTTAGCAGATTCATACTTGGACAACTTATATTCACCTATGAAAACAGACACAGTAATAAAAATAACTCAGCTCATGCTAATCTTGCCATAATTTAATATTATTGAATAATATTATTAATATTATTTACATTTTTTAGCTATTTCCTCAGCTGCATTCCTAAGCTGCACAGTCTCAGCATTAAACAATATGAGTGCAAAGTCGTCCAGAAAATTTGGTAATACCTCTACCGTAGCAATGACCTGTGCGACAAACTCTTGTACTCTAGCCTGTAGTATTTTCCCACACATTGTATCAAGGAATGCTCTCTGCTGCTTCTCTGTAACTATTCCACAATCCACACAGTCATTAACTACACCACGAAAATCAACTTCATTTTTGGAGAGGGCCTCGTTTAAAGTGGCAGTGTTTCTTGTAATGGCTTTCTTTGCTGCTTTCTTCTGTTGTCCAGACATTCTCAGTTCTGAAGGACGGGATAAATCTAGCTCTAATCTAGAGCTAGAGCTAGACTATTTATATAGGAGTTGCAGCGGAAGTAATTAATGGGAGGTGTGACTCATTGTCAGCCATCTTGGGTGTCAAGACTGCATGTTGGAGTATGTGAATCGAAGGAAAAGTCCTGTTCTAATGATGTTTGAGGTGAACTTATACTATCAAGAGCAAGCCAAGGAACTTCTCAATACATTGCATCATTCTTGGCTGAAAAGACACCATTACAGACTGCACTAGAGCACTTTGTATAAGAAGCAGACCTACTCCAGGCAAAGGAAAAGCTTCAAAAACATTTGTAAAACAGCTGCTGTCAGTTATCATTATACAAGTGTAAAATAACAATATTACGAACTTTACAACTTTGAAACACCAAATACTTGGCTGTAGTACTACACGTAAGTTAAGTGAGCGTTTTGCTGCTGCTACAATTCACTACAACAGTCTATTCATTCAGGAGTCATGCAATAAGTAAAATAGCTCCTAGACTTGCTATTGATAGTACTAGTTTATCTCAAACATAATTAGAACAGGACTTTTCCGCTGTGATAAGATAGATAAAGTTGGTCGTAACTGTTCCTCTACCTTGCCTATATAGTTTCAATTGACCATCTATGAATTGACCAATCAGACTTTTTAAACTACCATGCATGAATGAATTAATGGAAGCCTTGCAAAAATACCACTATTAGATTAACCACTTGCATAAATATATACTGGGAACATTATTAAGGTTCAATCCGCCAGGATATTTGGGCTTTGTGTGAATTCAAAACAACATGACAGCCACGACTATACATCTATGCCACATGTCATAACTATGTCTCCATGAATATTATGTTTATTACTATTACATATGTATGCCTATTGCATGAGATTGTTGTGGATATCATGATAACAGAAATTTTATGCGTCCCATACTTATGAAGCTTTAAGGTTAAAGTTTATACTAGATTTAGTAAGATAGAGTAAAATTTACTATCACAGTAAGTATCACTCCTACGACACACTCATGTCATAGCTACTTATCAAGCTGCAAAGTTAGTTTGTCAAATTTTTGTTGAGCAACTTTCAAAATCCACTGATTAGAGTCTGAACACTAGGCCAAAATCATGTGGAAAACCCTGTGTACATTTCTTATAATAGTGGCATTCAGTATTGCACATACACGTTACATGTACTACATGTACATGCATTCAATTATGTACATGTATGCATTCAAATTACTTTCCTTTCCTTTCTTGCACATACAAACAATCACATACACACACACACACATTCACACACACACACTCACACACACACACACACACTCAAACACACACACACACACACTCACACACACACATACACACACACACTCAGGCTGGTGAGAGCTATTAATTAGTTCTGATATGATAAAGGAAGGGATTAATAATTATGTTCATATCTGGAGAAGAATGGGAGAAAGCTATGAACTGGTAAAGCATAATTATTATGCCCATACCTTTAGATGGACACATACAGCGTATTGTATGTATAATGAATGCGTATAGTCACTACAGTGGTTTATTTGTTATTTCAGGTGCAAGTAGTAGGTTCTAAAACCAATTGCTAATATTTAATTATAGTATACATTTGATCTCTGTCTATCTCCTCAGGGTCCCAGTGTATTATTCAAATATGTGGCATTATATGCAGCTCATCTGATAAAGTCCAATGCTTCATTGTCAGCTCTTAAACTGTTCACTACATATGGGGCTCCTCCTTTACCCCAGAACTTTAACATATGTGACCATAATTGACAAAAGGGCCCTTATGGCGGATTTTAAAATTCATCTTTAAAATGAAAAATATCAACCTGTGAGTGCTCTGTTAGTCAACAATTGTTTCTATAAGCTACATAGTAACGTTTTGCATCCTCTGGAGTAATTTTATGATTAATGGAGCTCAGGAAGTTGGATTTTTTAGGCTATAAAGACCAATTTTCCTATCCGCCATAATGTACCTTTTGTCAATTATGGTCACATATACAAGAGGCTCTGCATGGAAGTGTTTGGAGAGAATCTTGAAGGAGGGGCAGCTTATCCAACCTACTCTAGTCTCAGGAATATGTTATTCTCTATTGTAAGTACCTGTTAGTATACAGTACTGTATATAGTAATGTGCATACATTAATACTCATGTACATGTACAGTATATCTTGGAAAAATTCCAATTGTAAATTTCTGCTATAATTCTATGGAATATGGACACACACATGGTACAATATACACAAGAATTTATACACACATGTATGTACAGTGTACAGTACAATGAGTATAATGTTTATGCATATTAAGTTAGTGTACTGAGTTTCCAATGTACAATGTATTATTGTATAACATACCGTACTTGTATAGACTGTTGTATGTACACATGTATAAGTATATGTATAATGTTTTATCATTTGATTTCTTGTACTGTTCCTTTATACTGGCAGGTTGATGAGCTATCACGTACATCAGAGTCTGGCAGTTTGAGTTGTAGAGAATTTGAGCAATATCTATTGGTATCGCATTATCTTGCTACTCGATCAGCTTGTAGTAGAGTACCACAGCTCAATGGTATAGTAGCTAAGATATCAGTATCACTCCTACGACACACTGATGTCATACCTGCTGATAGAGCTTTCTATCAAGTTGGGATGTACTGTAAGGTCAGTATTATAGAGTATGATAGGGAAAATAGAGGAGAGAGAGGGAAAATAGTTGTACCATACTCACCCCAATTAATGCACCCTCCTAATTATTACACCTTTACATGGCTTTAATAATAAAAACTTAGCCTCCTGGTCAAGATAATTATATTTTTGGGAGGTGTGTTGTAATTAGACATCTGTTTACAGGCATGTACATTGCTATGCACCTCCACCTTTCATTCATAACTGTTCCTATCTAAATAATGTAATGTAATTATTTATCAAGAGGTGTGATAATTGGGCCAGTATGGTGATATTATTTGTGCACCAAAGTATTCGGATTGTGCATGCACCTGTCCTGTACCTATTTAGTGATTAATTGTGTTCTATCAATAGGCAGTTGGATTGGAAAGCATGGCATTTATATTCTATAACAGATTCCTGGATCTCAGTGAAGTAAGTATAGCCAAGAGTAAAGCTATGATGGTATTACTTTTAATTTTCCAATGTCAGGCTATTGAAGAGGGTTCATTGGATATGATTGATAACAGTAATTTTGTTGATACTGATATTCCATTTGAAGTAGCACTGCCAGAACAACCTTTCATGACAGTAAGGAAACATACATGTACAGTACAGCTGAATCTACACTCTCATTAACATGTATATCCTATACTACAGAAACTTGTTGTAAGAAGTTGTTATCAAACTACTATAGCTCGCCCTCTATTATAGATAATTTTTATGCCCCTTATGTCAATTATTTTTGCTTCATGTTCACACTATACAAACACTTAGCATACATGTATGTACATGTACACGTACCTATAGGATTACATTGTAAAGTTCTTCTGTTTGTTACAGGAGGATAAACGAGAAGAGATTAAGGAATGGGTACTGGCCCTCTCCATGGACAGACAGGTGACTCATAATGAGAATCAACCCATTACCTTATTCCTTTAATCCAGGTGGAGCAAACACTACCACTTGATGATGAGAGACAGACTTATGTTGCATCATTGACATCACCTCATACTGGAGTCACCTCATTACCTTGCATTGTAACAGGTCCGGCACTAAGATACATGTACATGTACATGTGTACCTTTAGCCAAACATCCTCTGGGCAACTTTGTTGTTTGGTATATGTACATGTACACGTACTTTATTTTCTGTTGTGCAAAAAATCCTTTTTCTGGCAGCAATGTCTCAGTAGAGATCAAAGTATAACCACAGAGTTGCCTAGGGGATGGATTTAATCTAATCTATATGTAAACTGTCTGGGATGCAATATTATGTATGTGTGTAGGTTATCCAGCATTGAAGCAAAAGGTTGAGTTTAAACGTGGTGGGAGGTGTGCTAACAAAGGGGACTGGACCAAGTTTGTTATGAATACAAAGGTCAGAATTATAAAGTCAGGAAACTGAAAATAATTTCTCTTTCTCTCTCCACAGGCATCTCAAAATGAAGAGTGCTTGGATGTTGTTCATTTTATAACCAAGTGGTGCGGTCAACCACTAAATCCAGCTCACACGTTCTAAGACATTAAAAGTTTACTGTAGTAAATGGTGCATATGCCATTAGCAGATACATCACTTAAGATTATTTTATCAAAAATTTTTAAGAACAATGCATTCACAAAAATTAATTAGCTATGTTTCAGAAGTAGAAGCAGCCTCGCAGAGTGCTCCTTATTTCAGGCATCTGGTGGTACCGATATGTTTTACCATCCTTTGTAACTTTCTTGGGCTCACCTGCCACTTTATGGTTAACAACTAGCAGTATCTTTTCAATGCTAAGCTTTGATCCATAATCAATAATGGCATTGGATAAAGCTGTGATGTAGTGAGAGCCACTGTCCTCGCCTCTCAATGCTCTATTATTGTCCACTGTACTGAAAGCAAATAGGAAATCAGCTTCTGGAGGTAATTCAATACGACCATCAGAAACTATTACCTCCTCTTCTTCTCTGGAAGGAATTGATAAGTCAGATACCATTCGTTCTGGCATTCCATCCCCTCGACACGCCTGAAAGATCAATATTTTTGGTTTCCCAAGGAGCATGTCACAATTAACAATATTTGCCAGTTCGGTGACAGTAACTGGTGTACCATCAACTCCTTCAATTCCTGCTGGACTACCATGAGACAGAATACAGCAAATGAAGCTATCATGGTCACGAGTGACATCTTCCTTAACTGCTTTTTCAATAGCTTTCTTCATTGAATCAGCTTTCAAGTTTAGCTTGGCAGTAACTTTGTATCGATATTTTTCAAATGCTTTTATAAGCTTTTTTCCATCTTCTTTTGAAGAATCTCGATTTCGCCTCCTATCTGGAAATTCAACATTGTTAATAATCAATACAATGCCACGATTCCTTCCTGGGTTGGTTGTGTAGTGGTACACAATATCCTCATCAGGTTTTTTCCTTTTTGGCCATGGCCAATCACTAGTTACCTATTATTAGACATAAGGATAATATCATCAGTCATAGAC